TTACTAAATGTTTAACGGCATTTTAATAAACGGTTACTTAGAAACACAGCCTTAAAAACAGCAGGTAAACAGTTTGCTACTGTTTTCTTTTGTCCTCACCGCAACTAGCTTCAGAGTGCAAATGTTTTTAGCAGTTAGCTTCCAGTATAAACCTTATTAAAATCAAACAAATGTACCAGAAATTTGGATTTAAAAAGGCATAAAATGTTAGTTTCAAGTAGATCATGGCACATACTGATAGCATTAGCAATAGGGTGGGGCGATTTGTATAATTTTTCCCACCACCAGTCGTCAGTCCAAAAACAGACAATGGATGATTTATTCGTGCATGTGACGTCATGACGCACGGACTGATTTAACACAGAAGAAGCCCCAAACCGATTTGTTTAAGCCGGGTGTACACTGTGCGACTTTTTCACTTTTTTGAGCGATTTTCCACTCGTGCGAGAATCCACGACATCGGGGCGAGTTTTGCGCCGAGCGGTCGTGTAGTGTACAGGGGGTTACGAGAGGCGATTAACACCACGTGACCAGCTGCCGATCAGCAGTCGTGAGGTCGCACGGACTTCTGGAGTGTTTAAAATTTCGCTCGTCCCTCGTGAGGGTATCGCACTGTTGAAGCGGCGCTGCGAGCAGCTGCGACCCAAAATGTATCAGAACCGCTCACGGCGCATGCGCGCACAATCCTGCATCAACGCCGCTCCCCGCTATTTCCCTAATAACACACGCTGTTCGTTTTTGTTTCTACACGTTTTTTTTTACTCACAAAGATTGTCAAAAAAAGCGTGTTTGTCGTGTTCATGTCAAATTAAACTGATCACAAAACACAGATTTACTTTCTTTATTTAGTTTTCCTCATCCAACCCCCATAAATCCCTGTGTGTCCTCCTGCAGCACTCCCGAAGGACAACAGGCAAGACAAGACAAAAAAGTCTGACGTGTTGAGTAAAAACTGCTATTTTTAGCATATTTTTAGGGCCGACGTGTTGCTACCAGATGTACAGTGTGAGCAGTCAGGTCGCATCCGAGAACTGGGACGTACAGTGTGAGCACATGACTCGTGAGATCTGCTCTGCGAGGAAGTCGTACAGTTTGAGCTGAAGCTGAACGCTGCGAGTGAAAAAGTCGCCCAGTGTACGCCCGGCTTTTGACAACTGCAGCACATTTGTTTGCTGGAAGAGAAACTCATATTTTTCCTTTTGTTTAATTTTGCATTTGTAGTTTGGTAGAGTGACGTATGAACGGCCCAGCACGGTTAAAATGTTAAAAAGAAGCCTCGTCTTTGTTTCCCTGTGGTGTCCACTGTTGTGGTACTTTATTTAAGCAAAATGTTTCTTTCTGAACAAAAACTTCTGGGGTTCGAATGAATCACTGCTGCGTTTGGACGCACTCTGAGGAGGCAGCTCGCTGCCAGAGGTCACATGATCCATTTATCCCTGGCACTTTCATTTTTTAAATTATGAATAAACATTTGTTAAATTTCCATTCATTTTAATTAATATTTTGTCCAACCAAGCTGATCAGAATGACCCAGTAACATGAACAATTCATTTAAACAATTTCACTTAAATTAGGAACATGTCACCTGCTGCGGCTCGAACGCACATTGCTTTTGCGCCGCGTAAACCTGAACTGGTCACCTGCAGAGTGTGTGTAATCAAATGTCTCTAGGGATCTTGCTGAAGAGGTAATGAGCATCTAGACTTGTGCCTCAGACAGACTCATGGCTGTTTAAATAATGTTCTGATGGATCCGTGCGCTGCTGACACACTCAAAGCAGGTGCTGAATAACGACGAGCGCTACTTCTTGATTGTTACCTTCGCGATGCTCTCTGTGCGTAACGTAAAATATTCGATAATAACAAACAAATAAATAAATAAACAAACAAATCGCCTCCTGTAAAAAACAACCGTAACGGCTCAGCCCATCGCCGGTGGTCGATCATTCGTCCTGTCGCCCAACCTTAATTAGCAATAGCCTTAACAGCTTCTCCGGATCACTAAACGGTTGACCAGCTTGAAATAAAATAGTTGTGGGCTTTCAGGCTCGTAAAAGGCTTTCATTTGGTTTGCAGTGTAATACGAAGTTTGCAGCACGACTTAGTTTATCGTGTTGATCGCTTTGGCGCTGGGTAAATCCTACAGTGTAAGAAAAGTCAGCTCAAAAAGCCTAACCCTAACTCACTAAACTGGTTTCTACTGCAGATCTGGAAAAAATCATCCATGCCTTTCTGTCATCATGCTTAGACTACTGTAACGCTCTTTTTACTGGTCTCAGCAAAACCTCCCTCTCACGCCTTCAAGCCATCCAAAATGCAGCAGCCAGACTCCTAACCAAATCCAGCAGACGAGCTCACATCACTCCAGTTTTACAGTCCCTCCACTGGCTCCCGGTAGAATATAGAATACAGTTTAAAGTTTTAGTCCTGACCTATAGAGCTCTTAACAACCAGGCTCCAAGCTACCTATCTGAGCTTTTATCCCCACACTCCACCTCTCGGAACCTTAGATCCACATCTGAAAACCTCCTGGCTGTTCCTCGAACCAGACTGAAAACCAAAGGGGACAGGGCCTTTCAGACTATTGCACCCAGACTTTGGAACAGTCTACCTTCAAATCTCCGTCTCTCTAACACTGTAGAGGTCTTTAAAAATCATCTAAAAACTCACCTTTTCATCCAGGCGTTCCCTCCCTAAATGTTTCAAAAAGATGGCTTTGTTCGGGTTCACACCTTCACTTTGTTTATAGTCATGATTTTATTTTCTATTTTATCACTGCTATTGTTTTTTCTGATGTTTTTATTGGTTAGAGGTATTTGCCCTGATCTTTATCATGTTGTACAGCGCTTTGTGATTTATATCTGTGAAAGGCGCTCTATAAATACACTTTTACTTATTTACTTACTTACTTTCATCCATCACGCTGTGTTTTTTATAGTGGAGCAAAACACTTCCTGTTTCGCATTTGTGTTTTGCGTGACTGCAGGGTCACATGAGTGAAAACCAGCAATGTGGAAGGAACTCAAAGTAGAGATGTTGCTCCTCCACATCCAGAGTGGAAGCATCCTTAACATAGATAGGTGAAGGGTGGTTCTATGCTTATTGTCCCTTTTCTAAGCACCTTGTGATTTTGTCTTGAGAGGAGCTATGACAGATTGGTTCTTCTTTTTCTTTTCTGACATCCTAATATGGGACAATCTCAAACTGCTTATAGAACCAAATGATTCCTGACACCAAGATCTGACAGAAAATATACGCTCAGATTTTAAACAAATAAATACATAAATAAATAAATGTTTGGTTTCTAGAGGCAGTAAAGATCCACACAACCCACACGGCAGTACAAAGGATGCAAAACAGTGAGATTTCCACAATATGTCCCCTTTAATACTAACCTTGGTAGTAGTAGGGATGGGCTGAGTGACTTCATTGAGGCTATGTAGGTGAGGAACCAACTCCAACCACAAGTTGACCTAAAGGAGAACATACAATGACAAATGAACAAATGCTAAATATCAGTGGGTAAGTGTGGTGGCCCTTCAGCAGCTTCTATTCAGAAAAGGCACCTGGAAAATAAAGTGGAATCTGAGCACACGCATCATACAAAGACAGGGACTTGTACAACAAGTCTTTACATAAATGCAGCTTTTAATAACTCTATTTTTGGTAGATGTATAAAGAACCTAATCAAATAAACTGTATTGTAATTTTGAAAGGGTTAGCATTTATAGAATGAATGAATGATTTATCTTTCTGCCAAAAATATTTTTTTTGTATTCTGTAAGAAACATAATCATAGATGCTGATGAAAATTTCAGATTTTGATTATAAAATCTACCTTGCATTATGGTCCAAAAAAGAAGAAAACTAAACTAAGCTACAGCTGTTTCCATCTAGATTTTTAAATAGAATTTAGCTCTTTGCTGTAATGATGACGTATAATCACGAATCTCATCTTTGCTCCAACTGTCAGCTTGGTCACGCTGGTTATGTTAAAATCAGCATTGCTGTACAAATTGAAATGTTTTAAATGATAAATAACCCGCACAATGCCTTTCAAAATCAGAGGACTCCAAAGCGCTTTACACTACAGCAGTGGTTCCTAACCTGGGGGTCCCGACCCCCACAAGGGGGCGCCAAAGCCTCTCAGTGGGTCGCCAGGACCTCTCCACTTTAAGGGGTTAAGACTTCATTTATTACTTGTTTATAGCCTACATTGTGCTCACATTTTCTTTCATGAGTGAAAACTTTACTGATATTAAGACAGGAAATAATTAGTACAGAAAAAGTAACACTTTTAAGAACATTTTGCTCAGCTCACTGTTTTATTTTCAAGTGTCAAAAGTTCATTAAAGATAGGACTGGTTGATTAATCACAGCGTTTACAGTAAATAATCTAGTATAAACAGTAATATACACGTTTAAGTACATTTTGCTCGGTGTATTTTTTATGTGTCAAACGTTTATTGAAAGGAATGATTGATTTATCAGTGTTTACAAGAAACAATGTGTTCAGAAAAGTAATACAAACTGTCAAGCACATTATGCTCTGTTCGGTTTTGTTAATGACTTTGTTCTGTACTGGAGCCTACTATTACTGTTATCTATTGAATCAAAGCATATTAAAATGTGCTTGAACAATTTGATCATTTCTTAATACTGTTTGTACTGGAAGAGAGAATGGGAGGGGGTCGTCAAAAATTTTACTGGTAAAAAACGGGGTCCCTTGGGAAAAAGGTTTGGAACCACTGCACTACAGTGTATCATTTATCCATTCACACGCACATTCACACACTCATGATGATGAGCTACAATATAGCCTCAGCTGCCCTGAGGCGCACTGACAGAGCACAGGCACCATCTGTCCCTTCAACCACCACCTCCAACAGCAGAGAACATTGTACTGATGAAAATTGTACATTTGTGAATCTAATAAACAAACATTTCATTTTGTCACACCAATCATGTTTTTTTCTAGTGCAATATCTAAACCAGGTCCTAGTTGACTTGCTGTTCTGTCCAGATCTGGGCAGGGGTCAGACACACGAGTCAACAAAGGAGACATTCCCAGACAAATTGAACTTCAATGTAAGTTAGCCAGCCCATCAAAACTCTACTTGGCCTGCCTGCTGTTGACAAAAACAAGTTCTGGATCAAAACAGGGACATGTCGTACCTTGTTGGCTCGATAATGCTCCTTGACTCTAGGTTTCAGGCCAATGTGAAGGTAAAGCTGGTCTTTCTGATTGTAGCGTGTCCAAGCTACCTCCTCAAAACGATTTGGCTTTGTGTGGATGAATTTGGTGTCCTGGGGGACAGGTTGGTTTGGGTCCCTGTGAAGAAAGAGCAAAGCAGAATCAGATGAAAATACTTTGATATATAAATTAAGCATAATGCTTCTCTTAAAAAAATGAAACAACACAACACACATCTATATAAACGTAAAAGATGCAGAACAGGTCCAGTCCTCACCTGGATAAGGATTAATATTGATCATTTCAGTCCACACAGAGTTAAGTGTCATGTAAAGAACTAAAACTAAAGTAAAAGTTTAACGGACCCTTTGAGACAACATAGTTTAGTATTTTGACCCAAGTGTAGCATTTGCCCCAGGCTAATGAGTATCATTATGAAAATAAAGGAATGAAGTAGTCAGGCTTCCAAAAATGTTAATCAATGGTGTCTGAGAGATCCTTGTTGATAAACTCCCCAAAAAGGTCAAAATATGTATTATCGTTATTAAATCTTTGTTTCTAAAGTATTACACGGGGAATAAAACATCTTAATTTAGCTCAATATTTTCTGTTTGATGTTTCATTCAAATCCAAAGGACAGCATTGTATGCCGCTGGATGGATTCTGATGTTGTCTTTTAAAGAGGATAAATTTAGACGTACACTATCCATGCTTCCAGCCTAAGAGTACTGGAGAGCCATTTCAGCCATGGTTCAGTCTGTTCTTTTGTAGTTTAAAAGTAAGAAATGTGTATTTATACACACTCTATATATGCATTTGTTAGATGTTAAATAAAAAAAAACCAAAGGGTTAAGAGTCGGTGTAAATGCTGGTTAGAATCCCATATAAAAGCTTCCTCTATAACAAACAGATGAGCTTCTAAACTGCACTCATGGTTCTACAGCACTATAGACTTGCTTCCACTTAATCTGAGAAGAACAGAGCCAGCTAGGTCCATTCAGATGTGCCGAGCGCCCCATTGTCTGAGAGAGGCATATGGAGACAGCCAAACCTCATCAAGAACACGCTTAACCATTCAAATGGGTGGCATAAATCTCCCAGGTACCCAGCCTTCCACGTCAATTTGGGGTTATATATGTAGATCATTAGTGCCTTTCTGCTCCCCTCAGGGTTACTGGGCAGGGCACAGAAAGAGCCAATGTCCCCCTATTATGCCTCAGCAAAACAATTACCAAAATGACTATATATGCTGGAAGGCAACATGAAGCAGAGGCAGAACAAGACTTTTAATTCTGTCTCATAAAGAGTGTCCCATTGCAGCCTGTGACTATTGATTAATAATGCATTTGAAGATATGTAAAGGGTATGAGAAAAGAATATCAATTATGCTGTAGAGTCTATAAAACCCAGTAGTGCAATTCATGCTCCTACCAGCCATCAAATAATATTGAGGAAATAAAATTACAATCAAATTATTGACTGTTCATTGTCTTCTAATGATAATTGCATGTAGTATGAATGACACTTAAGCCAAAGCTTCAACTGCAGAACTACAGACATCTTTTGTGATATAATTTATCATGCAGGTGTATATATTATATATATATGCTTTGTGAAAGAGTGGGGAATTTATCGAGTCGTCTACATTGCAGTGGCGGTATTACTGTGTAATTACTGTTGTGAGTCTTCTGAGGTCAACAGTTGGTATGTTGAAGATTCTTTCTGTTAAGTTGGAAGGAAGTTTTGTCGGTCCTACTGTTGATATCAACGTATACAACAACTAGACCATGGCTGTGTTTGAAACATCACTTATTCCAAATTTAGTGAATCCACCTACTTGCATACAGGTGTTGTTCACTATGTCATTAGAAACAGATCTTGCATTTCAAAATGAGTCAGCAAAGCATGCTAATGTTAATGCTAGCATTTGTATGATTTCATAATGAAACTTGTTGTAAAGGCTGTGGGTTGGAAGTTCCTAGCCTAGAAACTCAGACAGTGGCAGAAGAAAAATGATTTTGCTCTGCAGATCGGTCTAGCCATGCTCCATCATAGCCTCAGCAGGTCTACCTTTGGCCTGAGCAGTTTTGTGTTTTGCCAATCACAGCGCTCTGTCGGATTGGTGGATTAGAACCTGCCCAGCGAGGTGGCAAAACAACAAAGATGGCAATAACATGTTTGAAACAGCTTTGGCATCAACTTTGATCAGTTTGAAAGACAACCATCAGATTATGTAGTCACATATGTAGACAACATGTTTAGCCGCATGCTGTCCTTCAACTGCTGGTTGTCTAGGTGGTGTCCTGAAAACAACGTGGGCTACATTGATAATTGGAAAACTTTTTGGGCTAAACTTGGTCTGATGCGGAGAGACGGCATCCATCCCTCTTTGGATGGAGCAGCTCTTCTTTCTAGGAACATGGCCAGTTTTATTAGTCCTCCATGACAACCCAGGGTCCAGACCAGGAAGCAGAGTCGCAGTTTAACACACCCCTCTGCAACTTCTGTACTGTTACCCACCCACTACCCCATAGAAACAGTGTCCTGCCCACGGCCAAAATCACACAGATTAAATATCAGGCTTAATACAGCAAATCATGGAAATCTCATAAATATTAGAACAAATTCAACTGAGCAGAAAACTAGAAAAATTTAATGTGGGTTGTTGAACATTAGATCCATTTTTTTTCTAAGACTTTGTTAGTTAATGACTTGATTTGTGATAATCAGATCACGTTGCTCTCTCTCACAGAATCCTGGCTGCAGCAAGAGGACTATGTTAGCTTAAACAAGTCGACTCCTTCAAATTATTTAAATCATCATATTGCTCGAAGTACAGGGCGAGGAGGAGGAGTAGCAACCATTTTTCATTCGGATTTATTAATCAGTCCCTTACCAATTAATAGCTACAGTTTGTTCGAACATCTTATTCTTAGTTTTCCTAATCCAGATTGCAAAACTGTAAAACCACTCTTGTTTGTAGTTTTATATCGTCCACCAGGCCCTTACTCTGAGTTTTTGGATCAGATCTCTGATTTTTTATCTGATTTGGTGCTCAGTACTGATAAGGTCATTGTAGTGGGGGATTTTAATATTCGTGTGGACATTGAAAATGATAGCCTCAATGTAGACTTTAGTAATATCTTAGACTCAATTGGTTTTACTCAAATAATAAATAGCTCCACCCACTCCTGCCATCATACATTAGACCTAGTGCTGACTTATGGCATAGAGTGTGAGGAAATAATGATCTTTCCACATAATCCAGTCCTCTCGGACCACTTTCTGATAACCTTTGAGTGTTTTATAACCGAGTTCTCGAGACATGAAAGTAAATTTCACTATAGTCGGTCTCTATCTGACAATGCAGTTGCATCTTTTAAATCAACTGTTCCATCTTTACTGTCCTCAGTATCTCAGACACATGTAACAGAGTCCAATATTTTCAGTTCTAGCCCCTCACAAATGCTTTAGTTCATCATGTTAATTCCTCTTTACGTGTGGCATTAGATGATGTTGCCCCTTTAAAAAAGAAGGTAATTAGGGACAGGAAGTTGGCTCCCTGGTTTAATTCTCATTTACGAGCCTTAAAACAAAACTAGGAAATTGGAGAGAACATGGCGCTATATGCACCATGAGGAGGCATACCTATCCTGGAAAAGTAGTCTTGTGCTTTATAAAAATAAGCTTAGACAAACTAGAAGTGCTTATTTCTCAGCATTAATTGAGGAGAATAAGCATAATCCTAAATTACTTTTCAGTACAGTTGCTAAACTTACACAGAATCATAGCTGTGAGCCATCTACAGGGTATCCACGGGTCCTTAAAAAGTCTTAAATTTGCTTTTCCAAATTTAAGGCCTTAAAAATTCTTTAAAATGACAAATAATCCTTAAATAGTTTCCAAAGGTCTTAAATTACCAAAGATCCAATAAACAAGATTCTTTTATTTCTATAAAATTTTCATGAATTTCTAGTGTTCAGCATTTTTTGTGTATGATATTTGCATAAGCGGAACCATACACATTCAGTTGGTCGTGAAAAGGGGTTATTTTTAGATGAGCACATTAGCTGGTTAAGCTAGTGGGAGCTTGTGTCACGGGGAGGTGCAAGTTTAATGGTAACTGGATGGTTAATCCCACGTTCGCGACGTGGTTAGCACCGGTTCTAGGCAATAGCTGGAAATTATAGCTTAAATTTAATTTAAAAAAAAAGCTTAAATTTGGTCAAAGTGGCCTTAACAAAGGTCTTAAAAAGTCTTAAATTTGGCTCCCTTAAACCTGTAGATACCCTGCATCTATTCCCTTAGCCCTCAGCAGCAATGACTTCATCGGATTTTTTACAAGTAAAATTAATTCTATTAGAAACAAAATCTTTAGCATCCTCCCTAATGCGATTTCTTCTTCCTCAGTAAGCGAGACAGCATCAGAGGTGCCTGTAGAACCTCATCTGTGCTTGAACCATTTTGATCCAGTTGAGCTTTCAGATTTATCAAAAATATTAGCTTCATCTAAACCTTCAACTTGCATTTTGGATCCAATCTCAACCAAATTATTTAAAGAAGCATTTCCTTTGGTTACTGCCCCCATTCTAGATACAATCAATCTATCCTTAGTAAATGGATATGTACCACAGGATTTTAAGGTTGCTGTAATCAAACCTTCACTTAAGAAGCCTTCTCTGGATCCAGATGACCCAATGAATTATAAACCAACATCTAACCTTCCATTTTTATCCAAAGTCTTGGAGAAAATAGTGGCCATCCAAGTATGTGAGCATTTAAACACTAATGATCTGTTTGAGGAATTTCAGTCTGGTTTTAGAGAGTATCATAGCACTGAAACTGTGTTAGTGAAAGTTACAAATGATATTCTCATGGCCTCAGATAAGAATCTTGTGTCTGTTCTAGTCTTGTTAGATGTCAGTGCTGCCTTTGACACAGTTGATCACAATGTTCTTTTAGAAAGACTTGAACATGTTGTAGGGATCAAAGGAACAGCGTTAGGCTGGTTTAAATCCTACCTGTCTGACAGATTTCCTTTTGTAAATGTACATGACAAATCATCTCCATACTCCAGGGTTACTTGTGGAGTACCACAGGGTTCAGTGCTTGGACCAATTCTTTTTACTATGTATATGCTCCCAATTGGTAAAATCATTAGACAGCATGGGATAAACTTCCACTGTTATGCTGACGATACTCAGTTATATTTATCCATTAACCCTGATGAACCTAATCGGTTGGGTAGATTACAGGCTTGTCTTGAGGACATAAAACATTGGATGACTCTAAACTTTTTGCTTTTAAATCAAGACAAGACGGAAGTTCTCATCTTTGGACCTGAAATCCAGAAAAGGAAATTGTTTAGTCAATCACCTGACCTGAATGGCATTACATTAATCTCCGAGAACAAAGTAAGGAACCTTGGTGTTATCTTTGACCAGGACTTGTTAATCAAATCCCAGGTTAAACAGGTTTGTAGGATTTCCTTTTTCCACCTTTGGAATATTGCTAAGATTAGAAGCATCCTTTCCAGGAGTGATGCTGAAAAACTAGTTCATGCATTTATTACATCAAGACTGGATTACTGTAATTCATTACTCTCAGGAAGTCCACAGAATGTAGTTAAAAGTCTTCAGCTTGTCCAAAATGCTGCAGCTAGAGTTCTGATGAGAATTAAAAACAGAGATCATATGTCTCCTGTCTTAGCTTCCCTACATTGGCTACCTGTTAAATTCAGAATAAATTTTAAGATCCTTCTTCTCACATATAAAGCTCTTAATAATCAAGCTCCATCATACATCAGTGATCTGATTGTTCCATACGTTCCTAACCGAGCACTTCGCTCTCAGACTGCAGGTTTACTGGTGGTTCCCAAAATATCTAAAATTAGGATGGGAGGCAGATCTTTTAGTTATCAGGCTCCTCTCCTGTGGAACCAGCTCCCAGCTTTAGTCTGTGAGGCAGACACCTTGTCTACTTTTAAGACTAGGCTTAAAACATTTTTATTTGATAGGGCCTATGGTTAAAATCTGATGTTAGCCTAAATCTGGACAAGTGGGGAAGTACAGGGAGGTGGAGTGTACAGTCGGTAAAGACGACTCTCCCTTGCCCTGCCTCCAACATGCCTCCATCTTAATAGGATAGATTATCCAGAGTTATCTCTGTAGTTATGCTGCTATAGGCTTAGACTGCTGGAGGATACACTGACCACTTTTCACACTCTACTACTTTCTTCTACAATCTGCTCTTTAACTGTATTATTTTCTGCAATTTCAGCTGTAACTTTATTTTCTCTCTTTCTTTCAAGTGTTTTTCTCCTCAGAAGAAGCTACAATTATGTTCTGCTGAGCTGTGAAGGCCTCATGCAGGGGGCCATCGTCAAGCACACTGCTGCTAACCACTTAAACATTCTCCCTCTCCTGATAATAAATTTTTGCTTTCCTTGACGTTGGATGTGCTACTGCTAGTTTACCCGTTTAATTATAGATCCACTAAGATAAATACAATAAAGTTTATCTCTCACCAAATAGAATATTTACTAAGAAATCACAATATAACTATAGACACATTACTTTGTTGTGTGTGTGTGTGTGCCTGCTCTGTCTTCTCGATCCCCAGTAAATCGTGGAGGATGGCTGCTTATACTGAGCCAGGATTCTCTGGAGGTGTCTTCCTGTTAAAAAGGAGTTTTCCTCTCCACTGTCGCTTTATGCTTGCTTAGTATGAGGATTGCTGTATAGTCACTGACACTAGTCAGTGACTTGATGCAATTTGCTGGGTTCCTTACATAGGAAACATTATTTCTGTTTGGCTTAATGAACTGACCTGAATTGGACATGCTTATTATGTGAAGTGCCTTTAGACGACTCTTGTCGTGATTTGGCGCTATATAAATACAATTGAATTGAATTGAATTGAACGGCCTGCCAGGCTAGGGAGTTCTCTGCCAACTCCTCCTCAGCACATGTGTAATCCACATCCGAAAAAAGAGCCAATGAAATGTATCGCTGATTGATTTTATTTGTATAAATATTCCCCCTCTGAAAAACTATTTTATACTGATTTTTTTTTCATTTTTAACTGTTGTTGCTACCAGTCGCTCCATGCACATGTTCAAATATTATACATCTAAATCCAAATGCATGTGACACAATGGAGAGGTGTAATGATTAGTTAAGTTTGCTCTATATGTAAATATAAAAATCAACATATTTCAAATATATTTTTCACACATTTGCTCCAAACAATGCAGCAAACATTGTGTGCATGCATTGGAAGCTCGTTTCCGAAGCAGTCCACTCATACGTAATCGTGGAACTAGGGCCACTACAAAAGCTCAAACATTGTGTTTGGGGAAAGTTCATCACATTTATGTCTATCCTGTCAATGTTTATTTTTTAAATGAATTACAAACTCAGTAAATGCAACGCGCTGGGCTTTCCCACTAGGGGGCGACTGACTTTGTTTCTGCTTGAACTTCTGGGTTCCATTCCTGGATCTAATCATGATACATGTTAATAGTCTTGATGCCGTGGCTGGAGGAATGCCTTACAGAATAATATGTAGCTGATTTCGATTTTTCACATCCTAAAGCCTCACTTGCAGCTTTTTGTTATACAGTACCAAAACTATCCACACATGTGCATTGGAAAAGGATCCTTGTCAAAAAAAGGTAGATGCATGTGCATGTACTCATGTGAAGGGATGACTGTTCCTTCTTACCCTGTTTTGGCAAAATTTGTCCAGTAGGTCATGACAACAGCACTGAGCATCACATCGTTCTTCGAGAAGTTGCATGGAAACAACTCTGTTGGTCCAATCATCGGCAGCCCAAACACATAAGGGATTTCATCTCCATGTGCAGCATCTGCCCACGGTGGGACCTAATGAACAGCAGATAAAGAAAATCTCATTTATATGATTATATTTACGTGAGTGATGCGGAACTGTATGGGCATCGTTTTTCCTATTGAAAGAAATCTGAAAAGCTGCACACAAAAAAAAGAAAAGATATTGTTTCATAACCACATAGATGCATTATTTGATAAAATAATAAAAAAAAAATGGTGATGAGAAAAAAAAACGTTTTTAATAATAAAGTAAAAGTAAACATTTTCACTGCTGTATTTAGATTATGGGCAGAATAGACAAAATAGGTATTAATGGAAATAAATACTGGGGCCTTTAAAAAAATACATATTTACACGGTTTTAAGCAGCAGGAATGTAAACATAAACAAACAAACAAAAAAATAGACTAAATGTTATGATATTAACCAAAAAAAAGCTTTGAGACCTGCAGACTAGATTAACATCACATGAAAAATGTTTCATTCACATTTATGGTGTTGCAGAGACAGACGGTCAAATCAATTAATCACTATATTACATGTATCGATAAGTCTTGTTAATACTGTGTCTTGTTGTGTCACGTAGAACCACAGAAGTACATAAGGTTCTTCATCGTGTGTAACAAGTGTATTTAGTCAACTCTGGCTTGTTGTGTTGTATTTGAAGACAAATGTCGGTATTTGCAATTAAATCAGCAGAATCAATGGATGAGGCCAGGTTTAATTTAAATCAACACACAACTTCACATGCACATGATGTGTGCATGATGTGTACTTCATTTAAAGGTGCATGAAGTAAAAATGACACCCAGTGGTGTAAATTGGGTACTGCAGTCCTTGTATCAAAACTAACGAGTCTACTCTGAGCCACTGTTGCATGTTCAAGATCAGTGCCAGAAAATTCTAGATGATGAGCAAAGATGAGTCATACACAGGACGTTGATGAGTAGATAAATACATTTCACTGTAATATCAAGTTGTTGGGATTAGAAAAAAGTAGCTTGAGCTATTTTTAGAGCTGACTAAGAAATTACTTCTGGCCTGCTTCACTGTCCAACATTCTTTCCAAAAACGCTGGTATTTTTGCTGACAAGGTGTTGAATTACAAATGCTGCTGCGGCAATGTTAGCCAGCACAGACTCGGCGACCCGGCTGACTCAAATATGGTCAACTCTGAAACCAGAAAGCATGGTGGAAATGCTGGTTGTAAGCAAAGACTATGCCCCTCTTCTGATGTTTTAAAAGGTAGAAATAAATGACAATCCCCCCCATCCATTTGAGAAGGAAATCTATTTCAATAAAACTTTCCATCCACCATGATTGAGACATTTGACTGTTTTGTGATTATTTCACTGTAGAATTCTCACTTATTGTTCCTTGTTGTACTCGCTAAACAAATCAGTCTTTGTTAATGGTGCGCTCTTTTTGGAAAGCTTAAGAAAGCCAGTGGAAAATAGCAACAATGTGATGAAACAGAATGTAACGTAATAGAATAGAACCTTTAATCATCTTATACCCGAAAGCACGACAAAACTAACGATGCTGAGCCACCTTGCACCTTGATTAAAACAGTAATTAAAAAAAGACTAAAACAATTAAACACAAAGGCATACATGATAAAAGTGGTCCATTTAAAGTGTGTGCATTTTGATTACATGTGTGTGTGTGTGTGTGTGTGTGTGTGTGTGTGTGTGTGTGTGTGTGTCGGTGTGTCTGTGTGTGTGTGAATAACCAAGGAAGCTTTTGGTCAGTCTGGTGGTGTGTTATCTGACTGACCAGAAACATTTATCAGAGGGCAACAGGGAATGGGCATGGTGTGAGAAGGGACCAATGATGGGCTCGTTACTCCTGAAGCTGCAGATCGTGGTGTTACGCTCCAGAGTGGGTAGAGGCAGCGAATGGTTTTTGAGCTGCGTATAGGACTGCGCTGACACTAAGGAAGGGTTTTAAGTTATTTTAACAAGGGTTATTATATCAACAGGTGTGACTCACCTGTTCTGTCTGACAGTGGTGGTAGAAGGCATAGAAGTAGGTTGGTGACCCAAAACTAGAGTGTAGGTCAGCTGTGGCAACAGCAGGCGCCACCCACTGGTGATCAGTGAAGAGGGCCAGTAGTGTCTTCCGGCGGGTCTCTGGGTTGTGTCTGTCAGCCCAGTCTGTATACATAAATTTAATAGTCTCCCGGAGAATGTCTTTACCCTCTGGGTAACCATAAAGATCATCAACAAAGCTGGACACGGCATAGTCAAAGTCATTGGCTTGGACTCCATTGTCATTATCCACAATAAGCTCCACAAACTTCAGACCCTCACCCTGGTTCACTCCTAACATTATATCGTAGTTGAGAAATTCACCTGTAAAATAAAAATATATCATAAATGACAAAGTCAAAGGAAGGATGTTGTTTGAAGTGGCTGGCTTTCAGGTTAAGTAAATGTATACCTTGTTCCATTAGTATCTGGGGATCATCAGGTATAACGTCTCCATCAATAACTGGACCAAAGGCAATGTGGTAGCGTGCTGGCTGGATGTCCTGGTCCACAAGCTCCTTGTAATGTTTTCTCTGTAGGCACACCACAAGATCCACGGTGTCCTCCAGGTTACAGCCTACCTTACGGGCCAGCATGCGGGCATATTTGGCCGGCTGAAAACTGACAGCCCAGCTGGATAGAGCTGTGCCACTCTGGGCAATGGCCCTCTGGAACAGACCTGAGGACAGAAGCAGTGAACAACTAAAGTAAAAAGGTTTTAAATCAGGTTTATTCACATCATATGACTTGTTTTATTTAACAAGGTCTGTTTATTGAATTACATAACATTATTATATTAAAACAGAAGACACAACATAAAACATAACAACCCCCCCATCACAACCTTCTCCACTGGATCAAAAATAATGAACAAAAACAAACACTAATCAGGCTTTAGTATGGGCTAGGGTTAGGGTTAGGGTTAGGTAATGTGATGCTCTCTGGCACAACTCCATTGTATAGTAAGTAACTTTTCATTATTTTGTCCATGTAAACATTTTACACATGGTTACTTTTGCTGAATAATTTAAAACTGGTATAATGTGTCTTTACCGAAACAATCGCTCAATAAAATAATTTATGGAAGTAACCAAACTACATTATAGATGCATCTTTTACACTTTTGTTAGGCCTTTCTTTTTACAGTGGACCTCAAACATTTGTGAAAGCTTGTCACCCAATATTGTATGTTGTACGTGATAGGTATTTTCTGTATTTAATGTACCTTTTTGAGGCCTAAAAAACGTTGCAGGACATGATAAGTATTTGTTTAAACGAAAGGTCATCGATCTTCTTTGATCACATTTTAAGAGTGACGAAGAATGGCCTCTGTGATCACTTCCTGAGACAAGATGAAGGTCCAACAATATGTGTTGATTAAGTTACCCCGGTCAGCTGATTCTGAAGAATGTTGATTAAGTTACCGGTCAGCTGAAGAAATTGTGTAAACTTCTGGGTGTGTCTTCCTAAATAAAAGGAGCTCTAAGGCTTTGCCTGGTGTGTGAGCAAACTGCCGTTGTGTCTGGTGTGTTTGATTCTCTCACCCTCTGCAAAGTATTTTCCCCTTTGCAGAGTATTTCGATGTTGTATGTTTAAGGGTTGTTTACAATTTACCAAATTATGAATCTGATCCCTCTGTGTGTGTTCTGACTTTTTTGAGGTAATATAGAAGCAATATTAGAAATTACCCAACAGTACGTCTGCATTTTTATAAACAAGACATGGTTTTTGTTTTAGAATGCAGTCAATGAGATCATTTGCACAAGTTTGCCAGCAGCAGTAAAAAAAAAAAACATGTTGAAAAAAAAACATGATCTTGATGGTCATTTACGCTTTAGAAGTTATCCTAATTTCCAGTTTTTCTACACAATCATTTGGTAGAATTATTTAATAAGTCTGAAAAACTTCATCTGTTCATTCTTCAAAGTCTTCAGACGTGTGAGTGAAGTTTTACCTTTGGTGGAATTGCTCCAGCGGTTGCCCTCAGAATAGTGAGACAGTGTGAGCAGGTTCACACAGGAAGCTCCAGCACCTGACCCAAACACAGTGATGCGTAATGGGTCACCACCGAAAGCTGCTATGTTCTCGCTGGTCCAGCGTAGTGCCTGGATCTGATCCAACAGGCCATAATTCCCTTTGGCTGCTTGGTCACCAGTACTCAGGAACCCTACATGAAAAAAAAAAAGACAAGTTGTGTTTCAGTACATGGTAAAATGGTAAATGGCCTGTCTGTGTATAGCACCTTCTTAGGGTTCTACGACCCCCCAAAGCGCTTCACAACACAATCAGTCATTCACCCACACATTCACACACTGGTGGGAATGAGCTATGATGTAGCTACAGCTGCCCTGGGGCACACTGACAGAGGCGAGGCTGCCGACCACTGGCTCCACCGGTCCCTCTGACCACCACCAGCAGGTAAGGCGGGTTAAGTGTCTTGCCAAAGGACACAACAGCAGAATTCTCTGGTCGGAGCCGGAATTGAACCTGCAACCTTCTGATTACTGGACAATCCGCTCTACCCCCTGAGCTACTGCTGTCCCGTAACATTAATCAAGCTGTCTGGTAAGGATTGCATAGTATCAGTCAGTTTAAGTAAACTCTGTGCATTACTGTCAGTAACAGTGAGGGAAGGAAAACATGATAGGGAAATAAAAGTTATTCCAGAATTTGTTTGAATATTTATGAAGGACACGCAGAATAATATTTAACAGCAAACGTCTGTCCGAGTTTGACATTTCCAATATGTGCTGCCTAATGCCATTACCTCCTACGCACATGCTTCTTATGCCACCAAATTTTATAAAACCAAGTGGTATTTGTAATAGTAAAGATTGCAGTCAAAGCATACTAACCTCTCGTCACACAAAAATTTGCACAATCTGTAATCGCCACATTGGTTTCAATCGTGGACTGCCTACATTCTTTGGCACAGCACCTACATTGCAAACATCCAATCACGTTTCTGTGATGCCTTGCTTGCAAGAGCACAGGAAGGCGCATGGGATTAGCTGTGTTGCTGTCAAATCTGCTTCTAAACATATTTTACAACAGCTGAATGGCTCTGTCTAAGAGGATTTTAAAATAAATTTGTTTCTTTCTATTACATTACATTGTAATTATTATTTAGACCTAATATAGCCTTGGTCATTGCATGAAAATGCCAAATAATAGCATTCATGTTCAAAAGCTTGCCAATGTCAATGTAACTATGACCCATGCCATGAAACTACTTCAGAAAACAACATAAGGGCTGATGTCAGTGAGTTTCTAAACCATAGCTGTAATCGGGGAAATATGGCACCATAGAAACACGATTTAATAGTTGCATCATTGGTCAGGAGCCAAAAACCAGGACTGCTTGTCCCTCACAGACTGACACCAATATAGTGATTACAGATCATGCTCAAAGTAGCTTCATCTCAATTCAAGCCAACAAGACCAACTTCACTCATTCCATACTTGTTTAATAAGAGCCCTTGGGCAAACCAAGTCAGTGTTGTCTTAAGATCCAGAGCCACTCAGGCACACATATACCAACCAGGAGCCATGGTCTCCTGGAGAAATCTCATGTTCAACACCCAGCAGATCCTCTCATTTTGATGCAAAAAGCAGTTACTAACACAGGAAACCAGGGAACACTTTGCATGTCTCCTGCTCAGTCCTTCCTTTCTTATTGTGACCACTGTGACTAAGTGCTCTGCTGTGACTGCTCATTACCCAGTGTCAGTCACCACTATTACTCATTCCTCAGGGATGCATCATGGGCACTTGTACATCAGCCAGTCAACCAGTCGTAATAGCTTCCAACCTGAGATGTGTTTCCCACTTAAAAACAAACTAAAAAAAAGAAAAGTAATGTTTAAAAAAACAGCTCAATAACCTTATCTTGCAATGATAAGGCTAATTATACCATGTAACATAGAAACATGACATGACAAAGAAAAAAGTTCAATTTTACCATATAAGGAAGCAGTACATCTGGCACGTTTTCATGCAACACATTCTCACTCCCAGCGCGTCAAAAACAAACGCTTGGTCAGCCACCCTCCACGTCAGACCCCTGACGCCAAAAGTGCCCTTTTTCGTTACTTATGTGCGAAAAGGGGTTTTTCCCTTATTTGACTGCAGATCCCAATGCAGCGTTACACTGACGCGATGGGATGTCCGCAGCCAGGGCACCAAACAAGCTCATTGTACCTCACCTTAAACTTATCCTCTTATTTAACCTTATCCTCTTATTTAACCTTGTCTTCTTATTTAACCTTCCCCTCACCCCTATCCTAACCTTAACCATCTTGCCAGCGAACACGTTGGTGATGTGTCGATCGCTCTAAAAGCCGGCTCTATGAAGTGAACGGCGGGAGCTGCCCCGTCATTGGTCGAGTTCGAACCGAGCCAACGCGAGGGGGAGGTTTCAACTACCACGGTGGAGGTTAAAAGTAGAGGGTATGTGTAATCTCCCCCTCGCCAGATGGTATGTTCTAACGTTCCCCTTGGGCGGCAAATACGAAAATTCACAGTCAGACTCTGACTGTCAGAGTCAGAATGCATGGGAAACAAACGCTTGATCGCAGTGAGAGTAACGTTTTAGGTAGCAAGAGGGTTAAGGTTAGGATGAGGGAGAGGGGAAGGTTATAAGTAGTGAAACGTTAAGGTTTAGGTGCGGTTAAATGAGCTGGTTCGGTGCCGCATCAGCGGATATCTAATCACGTCAGTTTTACGCTGCATTGGGATCTGCAGTTACAAAAGGGAAAAACCCCTTTTCGCACATAAGTAACAAAAAAGGGCACTTTTGGCGTCTGGGGTCTGACGTGGAGGGTGGCTGACCAAGCGTTTGTTTCTGACGCTTAGGGTGTGAGAATGTGTTGTTTCATGATCATAATACCAGCATTAGACAATGTTCAGGTAGGCTTGTAATTTCTCCAACGACTGGTCTCTTTTTAAAAGAAATACTCTTTTCAAACACAACATTATTTCAATTGCCACCACTTTGCTGTTGTTAGTTTTTTGTTTGTTTATTGGTATAGTACAGTCACTGCAGCTGAAAGCTTCTGATAAATGTTTCACTCTAAAAGCCTCATAGGAAAGATAGGGAATGACAGCTGTGGGGCTTTTAATGTGAAATAATACAGCATAGATTAACAGGATGATTGCAAGGCAAAGCAGGGTTTGAACTCAAACATAATTATTGTTTAATAGTAAGTCAAAATCACAGATGGGTCCAAAATACATGTGCAATGTCCAAATAGGTTAGATTCAAACACTGTGATATGATTTTAAACCAATTCTCCGTATATGCTTTAATCCAACCAATGTTTGATGGGTCAGCCATCAACAAACACTTAAACACAGGGAGACAAAACTAAAGTGCTGGTAAATGATGACCATCATAATGTCAGAACATTGCTTCGATTGCCTTATAAAGAAATTGTATACATCCACAAGGATTAAGTGATACGCTGACTTTATACTGAGTACAACCTATAAGGTCAAATCAGCTGAAGCTTTGTTGTGTCTACACACAGATACCCTTTCTTTCCAGTGGCTGTGAAAGCGGCATGTAACAAAATAGCGGCATTATTCCCAAGCGGGAACAAATCTGGCATTAAACGGGAGCAAAAGCATTCCACACAGCTGATCTTGTGAGGTCACAAAGTCATAGAAGAATTGCGACACCATGCATGATTTCAGAAGTCCACACAATAAAAGGCAAAGAGAAAGACAACAGCATGTCGTTTATCTTCTCTTCTGTTTACTTTGGTTCCAGAGGTTTCACAGGAAAGGATGTGCTGCACGTGACTTTTATTTTGAAAGTCTCCAAATCTTTTACACTGATTTTGTGTTTGACTTCCTGCCTGGCCATATCTAAACTGTGGAGTTTGCGTCTTTTGGAAGCGTAGCGAGTAAAAAATAGACTTGAAATGTAATGATGACATCACACTTAGCTGCCGGTAGAAAGGAACTCGCCCGCTATAACTCTGCGTAATTGCTGCGTAGTACGTTTTGCGCCCCTTTCATGTCCAGTAGAAAGAAGGTTAGGTGTTAGGCCCAGATTCAACGTGCCTGCTTAATTGGTACACATTTGCTGTTGCTTTCATCATCATTGTAATCTCAAAGCAAAAAGCACAACATACAAGTGCAAATAAACCTGTTTCAGCAATTTGTACTTTTATTGTCTAATGAATACACCACATACTGAACTTGCTAGACCAATACTGGGTTCTATTTGTTTATATGTAAAACACTGCATACTCTGATAACCAAATGTGTTGTATATTAGTATTAGTAACAGTATTTTGACTGTAAAAGTGTCATGGTCTGAGGTATTTCCCTGCTGTCACTCCCTGTCTTTTGAGTTTTCCCTCTGCAGGTGGGCGTGTCTGGAGGTGACCAAGCTGCAGCAGATCTGCTCATCAGCTGGCCAGGGGTATTTAAGCAGCTGGGAGACTCCTACACTTCGCTGGATGATTACTCTACCTGGGTACCTTCTAACAGCCACTTGTATAACTTATTTGAGCTCTTTAACCTCTTGAGACTTAGATTTGTTTTTGGATATTGGATTTTTGCCTTTTGACCTCCTGCTCTTGTCACCAGATCAAACCTCCACCTTCATCCACGACTGGCTATTCTCTGGAACTCCTACCTATTTGTCTCTCAGCTTCTCCCTGGCCAGAACCACCTCCAGCTGCCCACCTAAGCTCCCTGGATCTCAGCAAACTCAGCTCCCTCCACGTCTCCCCTTCTGGATCTCAGCCTCAGGAATCTCCTCTCAACCCAGACCGGACCACTCCTCCCTCAATCCAGTTCCCTCCTCCCAGACCTTTTCCCGCACCAGCTTTCCTGTGCAAGAACTCAGCTACGTTTACGCTGCTTCCTTGGTTTCCCTTCAATAAATCCTTATTTAAACATTTTACACCGTCTCAGATCTGATTCTGTATGTCGTGGGTTTGATTTCCTCACCACAACATGACAAAAAGTAGTGCAGTTTATCACATTTTGGGACAATTTATCTCCAAATGCAGCAATGTCAGACACTTTGACAATAGAAACAGTAAATATGACTTGTATGGATAGCCCTGCCCTATTTCAGTAAAATTCAGCAGGTTGCTGATGTTTCAGTTTCTTCTGACATGCAAATGCCACCAGCTCTCAAGTGGTAGTAAA